ATGCTATTGAATAATTAGATATCAATCAATCAATTCTAGTTCCTATTATTTTTCCAGTTGGAACCAGTCCATATTTCTCTACAAGAAAATTTTATTCTTTGAAATTCCGTCATGGTCGGTCACTGGTACTAATTAGAGTCTGTCGAGTCTATGCCTGGAAACTTTCTATTGATTGGATAGGATAATTATGGCGGAAGATTATCGTCAAGCTTTCCTCTCCCCCAAACAATATGTAGCATATGTTAGTAGTAATGAATAAAAAGTATCTCATATCGTTGAAGCGATTATCAGACTTGAACTGAAAAGAAATGTCCTTATTGAAACGGATATTTTCTTCTGAATCTGTATCTACAGTTGTTCCTCTATTCTTCACTTAATATACAAAAGATAATAATTAACTTTAATTTGAATAATATTCTATTATAAAATATAGTCTTATACGTCGTCCAATAAAACCGAAACAAATTGGTCGTGCACCAATTCTTGGTCGTCCACGTTTATTTGGTGGAAAATTATTAGATTATATTCAAGTAACACAACAACATATTCCATTAATTATTTCATCATGTGTTAGTGCTATTAATCGACTTGGTTTACATAATCAAGTATATATTTTAATCAAAAAAAAAAAAATTTATATTAATTTTATTTTATTATTAAGGGTATTTTTCGTGTACCCGGTGCACAAGTTGATATAAATCAATTTAAAGAAGCTTTCGAAAAAGGTGAAGATCCATTAGTTAATATCACAGGTCGAGATATGAATTCAGTTGCTGGTGTATTAAAATTATATTTTCGTGAATTAAAAGAACCATTATTTGCTCGAGATATGTTTGATTCATTTATTTCATGTATTAGTAAGTTAAATTCTATAATTAAACTAGATTAATGATCAAAGAAAACAATGTTTTTTTGTTCTTTCTATAATACCAAGCATCTAAATAATGATTTTAATTATCAATGAAATTCTCTATCGAAATTTCATAGATAGATTACATGAGCATGGTTTCTAAAAAACAAAATCCGAAAACGATAATTTGTATCTGCTGAAAGAATTTGTGAAAATTAATCTATATAGTGCGAAAACCTTTGCACAAAATATTCGTTTATGTTTCAGCCATATAAAGACAACTGGTTAAAGCTAAAACCAGAATTTTTAGTTATTTTCGAATATATGTTTAGGTTTTCCTTCTGGAATAAGATTGAATAACTATCAGTAAATCTTATGAAAAAGTCCGAAAAATAGCAGTTTTGGCGCTGTCCTTAGGTCGTGTCTTGGAACAGCTTCAATTTAGCATTATCGTATAGCACCGAAAACGATCCGTATTCCTTAATCTGAGTCTACAAAATGAAATATTACAATCAGTGAAATCTTATCTGTACACTTCCACTAAAGAGTTAATTTCTATGAAAATTAGTATTGACCAAAAAATCGCTGCCACAATAACTACTTTTAAAAATACAAACATTTTAACATCTGTCATAAAAGATAAAATAGAAAAGCGAATAGTACGTTTTGTAGAGCAAATAAAACTAATCCATTAAAAATTGTTTCACATTTTCAAATTTGATCGAGTTCAATCGAAATACAAAATCGTATTCTGTATTTTTGAAATCATTTGTTTAATCTTACTCCAAAATGAGACTCTGAACAAATACTTGAAAAGTTCAAATTCTACTCGGTTATCTTTAAGTGTTCAAAAAAATGAATGAATTCTTTGCAGCAAGACTTTCGCACTATAGGTATAATTTCTTACACAGAGCATGACATGAAGAGTTGCTGCGTTTTCTACAACCGTTCAAGCATTACAAAAAAAAATGCAATTTTTTAGACGATTTTAATAGATTTATAAATTTTGCATGATAAACCGAACCGTTATAGTTTGATTCGATCTCTGATTTATCTATGAAATTTTGATAGAGAACTTCACTTTTTTAATTCAAATTGGAATTCGATGCTTGATATTATAGAAAAAATAAAACTGTTGTTTTTATAACTTTGGTCACTATACAATATATAAAAATTTCTTTTTTATTATTATTTTTTTTTCATAGTTGATGTTGAATCTGAAGAAAAATGTGTCGAAAATCTTAATCAAGTTTTAAAACTTCTTCCTCGTCCAATATTTATAGTCATGCGTTATTTTTTTGCATTTCTTAATCAGTATGGCACTTGTTTTTTAAAATTTTTATTATTAATTACAAAAAAGTTTTTTTTATTTTTTGTAGTTTAGCAGAATATTCTGATGAAAATATGATGGATGCATCAAATTTAGCAAGTTGTTTAGCACCATCACTTATGCCAATACCTGAAGATAAAGATCAAGTACAATATTTAACACATACAATTGAACTTATACGAACAATGATAATACATCATGAAGAAATCTTTCCAATAAATGATGATGATCCAATCTATGAAAAATTTGCTACTACAATTCCAATGTAAGAAGAAAACTGGAAAAATGTTTTTTTTTGAATCAAAAAAAATTTTTTTTTTTTTTTAGTGATGGTGAAGAAGATGAAGATGATGAAGGTGAAATGATAAGTGAACATTCGTTAAGACGATCAGCAAGTGATGATGGTAAATAGGATTTCGAAAGATATAGAAAAAAAAATATTTTTTTTTTTTTTTTTTTTTTTGAAATATTTCTAGCTTCACAAGATTCTGATTATTGTACTGAAGATTTTAATTTATTAAATGAGACTGATGTTTGGTAAAAGACTAAGAATTTTAAATGAGAAATCTTTTCATAGATTGAGCATGGCTTTTTTTTGCATTCCTATTCAGCTATTTGTTTTATATGTTGAAATCTATTTTTTGTTTTTTTTTTATTATTTATTTAATGATAAATTTTAAAAAAAAACAAAAAGAAATTTTTTTTTTATTTTTTAGAAATGGAAATGGTAGAAGCAGTGGCATTATTTGATTATAATGGTAGAACAAATAAAGAATTATCATTTAAAAAAAATCAAATTATATTTATTTATAAAAAAATGAATCATGAATGGTGGTTAGGACATATAGCTGGTGGAAATCAGTCAGGATTTATTCCTGATGGTTACATCAAGCTTAAATCCAGGTTTGTAAAAACAAAAAAAACTAATCTTGCAAATTGTGCATCCATACTCTCGCGAGTATAAATTTTCGTTGATAATATTTCTAAACATAATTCTTTTCTTTCTATTGTTCATTTTTTTAATCTTAGTAACTCACGAGAGAACCTCTCCTGGTGTTAAATCGCTTTTCGGTCGAGATGATATTCAGTAATAGAAAAGTCTAGAATGATTTACTTTTCCTCATTTTGTATGCAGCTTCGAATCGGAGTATAGTAAAAAATAGTTGCAATCTTGGTTACATACACAGACGATGTCAAATATTGGTGAAAAAAAAACACTTGGATCAAGACCTGAGGCCGAGTTCATAAAAACATGAATCCTCAGATTTATATCGACGATTTTTGAAAAGAATTGTATTGTCTAGCAAGATTATGTTATCACTAAACTTTGATAACAGTTCAGTTGAATTCGCAAAGAAAACTATGCATGCTAATAAGGGAAAAGAAAGACATTATGAAACATGACGAAATCACTTTCTTTTACTTAGATATTGTTCATTAATCTCCAATATTTTGTTATGAGTTCTTATCCTTTTGCAAAACACGATCTAAAAAGAAAAGTTGAAGTATAGGGATAGAAATATGTAGCGCTTCTCCGTGCCAGACATTGTTAATAAACGATTAAAGATTGTATATCAATAACATCTTGTTATAAGATATAAACTACTTCCTTGGTGCATTTTTCATATAATCGAATTTCTATCAGTTTAATAAAAGAAAAGAATTATGAATTAAATTCTGTTTATTAATTTCTTAGTAAATGCTTAACAGACAAAATATTCCAATATAATAGTTTCTTTATCAATGTTCTTTTCTTTTTGTTTCTAGACGCCGAGATTCAGCTCCTTCTGTTCAACATCATCCTCGACTTCGTTTAACACCTAATCCATCATCTTCAATTACTTTACCAACATTATCGAATAATCAATTAAATGCCTCTATTTCAACCACACTAACATCTAATCAATATCATCAATCATCAAATTTTTCATTAGTTGATGAATATCGTCTTCAATCAGCAAAAGAAACTGAAATAGTTGAAGTTGATTTTGATATTAATAACAAAGAAGAAGAAGAAGAAGAAGAAGAAAAAAATTCTTCTATAATTAAAAATTATCCCATACCTGCTTCTCGTACCATCAATGATGTTTTATTATCTAATTCACCTCCACCAATATTATCATCATCACATTTACCATCAATAAATGATCAACAAATAATTGATATTGATACAGCATTACGTGAAATTTTATCAGGTATACAAACTGTTGAAGAATGTCATGCACAATATTTTCGTTCAAATCAACAAAAAGAAATTGATGAACCTGATCTTGTACTTAATTTACCTAAAACAAATCGATTTTTAACAACACAAACATCAAAATCATTTGATGAAAATTTATTAAAAAAATCTTCATTACCAATATCACATTCAACGACAATTATTGATTTAACACATACATCACGATCAAATTCATCATCACCAGAATTAATTAAACAAAATAAAATTCCACCACCTATTATGAAAAAACCCGAAAAAACTTTACAATTAATTAAACGTCTTGGTTTACAACAAACAAATGAATCATCTTCATCATCAACATATTTTAATATTACACAGCATCAACAACAACAACAATCAATATCGATTTCTAGTTCATCAAAAGCTACGCAAGTTTAAGAAAAAATGCTGCTAGTCGCGCATTGTTGTATATCATTTCGAAATTGTTCATTTTTTAAGCATGTACAAAAAAAAAAAAATTATCCTTATCACTGATCTTTATACATAAATCTTTAATCTTAGAAGATAAAAATCTACTGATGTTATATTGTTGTTTTTGTTTTTAATCGATTATCGAAATATTCTTTTTTTTTGTATTGAAATTGTTTTGTTTTTTCTATATATGTGCATTTTGTAGAAAAGAATCTTCTTGTTAAATGAATAAAATTAAAATTAATTATTTGAAAATTGTATTGAATTTATTCAAAAATAGTGAATTAACCGTTCATATGTATATTTTGTAAAACGAGTGTTGAAGTATGAGCGTAAAAATTTGAACCACCTCCTAGATGGTGTATTAGCGAAAGTAGGATGAGACTTTCGCTAGTTGTCATGCAACTTATATGTGAGGGCTGAAGCTAATATTGTTAGAATTGAAGGTGTAAGTCAAACGTTAAGGAGATTCAGACGATCCGTCGCCAAAAGCTAAACAATGAGTTAAAGACTTTCAGTCACTGCCGCCGTGACACAAAAAAAAAAGATACTCAATTTTTGATATTCAGGATCACTTTTCGGGCATGTTCTTATAATCAATTTTTAATCAACTCAATCAGGAAATGATTGATTTAACTCGGAGTATGGCATGTGCGTCAAAGGATGGTCTAGCGTTGTGTTTACCATTTGTTGAGCCAAGAAGTTTGAGAAACTTAAAAAATTTGAGTTTATAAATTAAAACTCGAGCAAACCGCATTTTACAACCACTGTATAAAAATCGGTCAGATATTGAATAATCTCATTTTTAAATTAGACTAAAATCAAGCTTTTTTTTTCTTTGTTTTACATGGTTTGTCCAGTTTCTTGTCTGGCAGGTCTCTACTAACATTTTCTATTTTTATCGTGTCAAAATTTCTCAAGAACAAAAAAATTTTTAAAAACGTTGTGGAAAACATCGAAGCGTTTCCACTGACTAGCTAAATCTCTCAAGCTGCGCAGCCATTGTGAGCAAAGATAGATTTTCCTTTTTTCAGCGGTCACAGCCCATCGACTCATCGGCTTATACCTCTAGCTAGAATATGTTACTGGGTATGAGAAATTTTGCGACATTTCAAAAAAATTCGATTTATTGCAAAAGAAACAAAATAGTTGCGAATCGTATTTTTGATATAAAATATACAGTTAACGGTGAGAAGAAATTTTCTTAAATACATACGAATAGTACAAATGTAAATGCTATAAAAATTTCATACGAAGATACAAAGAGTCGATACATTGTCTCAGTGGTTTGTTTAAACATACCTGAATAATATTTATTAATAGGTCATTCCATACTTCATCAGCCACATTTTCTAGTTAACCATATCATATTGAATTCACTCAATGACTAAAGTATAGTCCTTATTATAACGCTGTTAAACGAGTTTGAAATAGGAATCCAAAAGCTATAACGTGAACTAGGACATGCGGTCGATGAAGCATGAAATGACCTATTAATAAATATTATTCAAGAAAGCCTAAAAACTCAGGCAATGTATCAACATTTTGTATCTTTATATTAAACTTTTATTTGTATTACAATATGTCTACACTTGCACTATTCCAATATATCTACGAAAATTTCTTCTGATCGTAAAACTCGATATTTGAAATCAAAAATACAATTCACAATTATTTTATCGTTGGTAGAAAACAAAGTATCAAAATTACAATATAATATTTCAAAAACTACATTAGAGTTAAACATGTTCATCTACAATCAGTTTACCATCATGTTGAAAATTTACATAGATTAAACATTTGATTCTAATTCATTTTCACAACCGTTATGAATTTCATCGGCTTTCTCTTTAGTAATAACTTTAGGTCTTTCAAAATATAATCAATTTTCAATAGGACCAATTTCATAAAATCAATTGAATGCGAATCTAATTCTATGTTCAATTGGGAGTTTCTTTTTTCTGTAAACTCAACTTGTACGCTCGTGCTTTACAAATCAAATTTAGGCATGAGTAAAACAATTTTAATTCTAAAATCTATAGACATAGATATTCTATTATCTGAAATATAATGAAATAAGACTTTAATAAATATCCGAACAAATAGTAAAAAAAGATAATATAAATTGTTTGAATTATTGAACAACTATTGATGTTTCTTTTTCAATCGGATTTACGGGACATCCTGTATATTACATAAAAATTTGAATAATATTATTATTGAAATATTTTTATATGTTTTAGAGATATTTATCTTTTGTTTTTTCGATTGATTTTTTAAAACATTCTATATTGAAATAACAAAGATTTATTTGACCTTCAAATCAATCCTATAGATTATGTCGAATGAAAAAAATCATACAAATCAACAGGAAGTAAAACAAGAAGAAAAAAACCGACTAGCTCATCCTTCAATCCTTTCAACGACGTTTGTTTACTTCATCATCCGATATTACATTTGTTATTTATTTAAACAAAAAAAAAATGATTATGTCATTCATTTTTTCTTTTTTTTTGACATCCGTTTTGTTTGAAACCTCTCAAATACAAATAAATGATATATACAGAAAAAAAAAGAGAGAAACGAACGAAGGTCAAAGATGTTTCTTCCATTTAAACATGAAAAAAATTTTTTTGTTCGAAGGTCATATAACATTGTTTGAATGAAAACAATTTCTTGACTATGCAGTAATTGATTTGACCATCCCTTAACAATATGTGTACGTGATCCTCTTTCTCTCTCTCTCTCTCTCTCTCTCTGTCTTTTTATTCACGACAGAGATTTGGGTTCATTGAATACTTTCGTGTGACAAAGATGTCAATTGTGAATTGATAAAATAAAAAAAAGAAGAAGATGTGTAGGTGTTAGAAGAACAAGAAAAGATACACAACGACAATGATGTCTTTGCACATTTCAATTGTTCAAATAATGTTATTCACTAAGCATCATTATTTATTGTTATTATTATATATATTTTTTGTTTTTCTTATAAATTTAACAAATACTTGTAATATATGGAAAGCATCTGATTGTCCACAACCACCAACAGCTGATGATGAAGAAATTGTATAATGTGTTATTTTCGTTGGTTTTTGTTTAATTTAATAGTTTTTTTCTTTTTGTTTTTTTTTAGTTTAAATATGATTTATATACACGTGAACAACTTTTTCAATTTTGTGATCAAGGAAAAAAATATGTTGAATGTGTTAATAAAAGACTTCAATGTTGTGATTTAAGAAGTGAACATGCAGGTGCTTTAGCAGCATTTGAAGTTGGTCTTCAACAAGCTGTAAGGATTTCGAAGAGGAATGACGAAAAAAAAACAAAACACACAAGGATAAGCAAGAGCTAATATAGATGAATTTGAAAAGATTTTTTTATAAAAAGAAATTTTAATCGAACGTAAATAGCGAAATGATCTCTTTGTACGATTCAATCTACACACTTTTTATTATCCGATTAGAATTCTAATAGAAATTATCTATTTAGATTTAGAAATGAATATTTGTAGTACTAGGATTATCTATTCAATTACATTGACATGACATCATTTGAAAAAGTCATAGTAACCACCCTAGTTTGAATAGTATCTTAAAATTTCACTTACCTTTATAGTGTACCTGTGACTGGTTAGTTTGTATAGGAACTACAACTTGTCTTATCTCAAGAAAATTTATTTCACTAATCTGAATTGTCTTCTCTCAGTTTGATGTAATAGAAATGTATTGTTTCTTCTTTTTTTTTGTTTTCATTTATCGTATATTAAATTAAATCAAACGAGCAGAGAAAAAAACCTACAATTTAATTTTCATATATTTCAAACTGTTTGCTTTTTCCTATTAAATTTGATACGCTAGGGTTGGCGATTAGGTAGATATTGTGCTGGTCTTGGTGGTAGTACAATCATTCAGTATAAATGTAAAACAACAACCTTAGCACCAGCAAAAACAACAACAACAACAAGTTCAACAACTTCAACAATGCCACCATGTGAAGTTGAAGAGGTCTGTATTGTATATTCTGTTTTTCTATAGTTATCATATAAAAAAGAATAGGCTGGAAAAGAATGTAATGATATATTGGATGATCGTTTGAGATTTGAAACTACATGGAGTGTACAAGAAAAAATTCAATGGTGTAAAGCAGTAACAGATTATATTCAATGTGCTGGTAAACATATAACAAATTGTTCAATTATTGAAGTTCGTGATGATGTTGAACAATTATCAAATTTTATGGAACATATTATGAAACAAGCTAATTTAAATTGTCATGGTAAAATAGAGACAAGATTTCTTTTTTTTAAACAATTTTTATTTTCGTATATTTTCAATGTTTAAAGGTGGTTTCTATGGATGTGATCATGCTGTTACTGATGTACGTTGTCGACAAAGTGCACGAAAATTTTATAGTGGTGAAGCATTTGATTCAGCAGGAACAACTTTAATTATTGAATGGTACTTATTTTTCTCTATTGCCTTAATATCGTGGTGGCATTGATAGAAAACGAAAAAAAAAAAAAAAAAAACTTATTTTATTATAATTTATATCGACGCTATGAATGAACGAACGTTTTTGTTTTGTCTTGTTATCATTCTTTTAATAATGGAAAAAAAAGAAGACTTTATTGATTATATAGTTCGTCTAAAAACAAAATCTTTTTATAATTGATTAGGAGTTATTCGTATTTCAGACAAATACTTTTTCAGTTTATAGACTAAATAAATATATGGATAGATATTGATATGATGTTCTATGTAAATAATAACATAAGTAAATGATAATCTTGATTGTCATGTTCAGATATATTAGACGAGAATTCAACAATGTTATATAGAAAAAAAATCAATGAGTGATGAGAGCTTGAAAGAATAGCTGAATATATTTTGTATTGATTTTATCATCAGTAAATTCCATCGATAATAACATAAACACAAATGAGAAAAAGCAAGACATCAATCCTCCGA